CTGATTAAATCGTAGAATCTCTATTTTTATGATTTTGTGATGATGAAAAATTCCTTGTGGTGCGTCTTTTCCAAACCTCGGTGACGCTTGAAGGTATATTGAAACAAATCCCGGTTTTAGATAATTCCAGTTTCCATTTGGGAACAACCTGATTCTACAATCGTATCCTGCCCCTTTCGTGATTTCATCCTCCAACACAAAGTTATCACTCATCAAAAATCTTCCTCTGGGATAGAGATCAACTAAACTCTGGAAGTCTTTAATAAACCAACGGACAGACCAAGTGGGTGTTACACGTTTTTGAATAGAAACTTGCCCTTGGTCTTTAATTCCATCGACACCGCTTTCTCGATCACGCTTTTCATGATAATTCACCGTCTTCCGGCCGTTAGAACACGATGCCTTTGAATAGTTTTGCTTGACCATCTTTTTGCGATAAAACCAGTTAAACTATGACTCTTTCGGGTTGAATGAACTTTTTGGATCAGGGATAGTAAGGAAGCTTTAGGTGCCTTCCGTTAACCTAGACTTCTATCGTGGTAGGACTACGGGAAAGGAAGAAATAAATGAAATGAGGATCAGCATGAAAGTTCGTGTTGCATTTTTATTCAGGAATGATGTCATTTTCTTACTATAACGACACACACGAGATTATGGGTTACGCAACAGGTTGATGTGTATGAGACACTTGAATTCGAAATCGACCATTTTATTGCCGAATTCAAGTTTTTGTGTGTTGTGTGTGGAGACTATTTCTAGAATGTTCTATGTGACTCATTCATTAACTTGCACGTAAAAATAAAGGACGTACCTGTAACCGCTCTCCGATTATAAGGCAAAAGGATGGATAAAACGTCTTGGCTCCGCGGTTTCCTATTACATCGAATAGACAAGAATAGCACACACAGATGTTGTAAAGAGATTGCACTCAATTACCTTATTTAAATAATAATGAAGAGGAAAAGTGTGTTTCATCATATAATGATTAATCAAAGACGTACGTTAAAAATCATGCATCTCTCGTAAGTTTTCATGTCACGACATGTTTCATAAAAAGTCGCCTGGCCTTTCTTTATCACGCAATATGTGATATCACAATATAAGTGCATGATCAAATCTTTAAAGTCGATCGAGTCATTGCAAAGCATTTGCCACGTGACTGATTTACTTATCAACTTTTTGCTCACAACTAAACCCCATACATCCTGGTCAAACTTCATATTTCCATGCAGGCCTAAGATGGGAAATCACCAGTTCGTGCAAAGATGTATGATCGGTAGGCATTGGTGAATATACGAATGCTGAATATACGAATGCTAAATATACGAATGCTATAACGGTGGTTTTACTTGCATCTTCATGACGCACGTACCTTGTATTGTCTTGCTTCACCAATGATGGTATAATGCTTGCTGCGAAATAGTTCGACGGTTCGACGTATTCATGAAATAGACTAGAATGAAAATTCGTACGCAAAATCTTGGCGAACGTTTTAGGCATTGGTGTATGTACCTGCGTACATTGCATATTGAGAAAACGATGATTAAAAAGTATGTTATTGTATTTTGTATTTAAGGAGATCTCATCATTTCACCTTTCTAAAAAAAGAAAATAAGAGTTTAAAATTTCGCTTATTATTCTTTTTCTTTTGCCAAATTTGAACGCCCATAGAATTCGTGAGGGTATGAAATGAGCCTCGTGTGGGTTTTCTTATTTAGTGCATGATATAAAATGTAAATTCACAAATTTGAATTTGATCCTCGTGAGCAACCGTTACCCCTTATTTATTAGATGAATTCAATGTGCGTCGAATTTTCATGGAGAACTCAAAGAAGTTTCGCAAAAATTTAATCCAGTCACTTAATACATTAATTATTATTATTATTGTTTATCTGGACACATGGAAGAAAAAGTAAAGCAGCGTAATAAACTGTTAATTCAATGCTTCGTTTTTGTAATCTAATTGATCCGAAAGATTATACGCGTGCGTTATAGACTTCTATAAATAAAATAAAAAAAAATTTAAAAAACAATTTATCTTATTTACTAAAAAATTTATTAACATACACTCATAATAAAAAATTTCTTGACATTATATTAGTTTAAAAATAATTCATCTTATATACAATTATATTTAGACTAATACATGTATTTACTGTATAATTTGTTTGAAATAAAAAATTAAAAAATTTTCTTTGTGTAAAACGTGTATACCCAATTTTTTTTACAAATCTTTCATTTGATATTTTGAAATTAATATTATGGTTGATAATTATAACACATGGTTTTTGTTTGTTTTTTTAATTAATATCAATTAAAATTATTACTTATCTAAAAAAATTGTTTATATTGTTGAAATTAAAGGACAAATATTTAATTTCTTTTGAACGATTAATCACATGACACAATAATATATATTAATTGGTTAACCAATTCTTTTTGTTTCTTTAATTATACTTATTCATTTCTTAATGCAATAAAATTTCATAATAAGAATTGAATATTAGTACATTTTTTATTTTTTTAAAAAAAAATTATTTAATTAATTGCATTTCCCCTCAATTCGCAATAATTGCGTTTAAATTGTTCTGGATTCGATACTACTTTAAGGCCACGCTCATATGCGAGGGTGATCTGATCGGAGTCGGAGTCACCATTACTCAATAAGAACTTGATGTAGTCAAGCCACAATTCTAATAGATGAGAAACAATGGTTATTATTTTTCGGCTAGTAACATCTCTCAAACTAACTAATGAATGTGAATAACCAACCATCTGGTACTTTGTCGTATTGAAGCACTTGTCCATAAAGCCATTCTAAATGAACCTTAGTATCAGATGTAATATTCGAGTAATTCACATACTTTTGTTCAATCTTGATGCACGTTTGATAAAATGCGAGTGATGGCAATATCTCGTTAATGAGGCTAAAACAAATCATAATGAATTTAAATATCGGTTTTATATTATTTAAACGGAAATGTATGCGTGTAACATGTGAAATACCTTTTATAAACCTTGCGAGTCTTCTCCAGCCCATCAGTCTCGTCGGTCCAATTTAAATATCGTGCAATGACCAAATCCTTGATTTCATCAGCATGGATCCCTTTGGTTTGCATGTTTAGTGTCAATGAAGCAATCTTTGAGACAGAAGTCTATAAATAAAATTATTATATATATATATTAGATTTGTATTCAACAAGCAAATATTCGTATGGAAGTAATAATAACTTACCATTATTATTTCTTCTAGTTTTTCATTTTTAATTTCACTCTGTTTCCACATTTTAAAAATCCATGAAATATAAGAATCCCACAATGTCACAGACGAAGGATTATTTTCTAACGCAATTTTGTACAGTTCATCAAGTGATTTGTCCTTGCATTGATCTCCATGAGACTTGGCAATGCTAATACGTTTCAACCAAAGTTCCGAACTTTGCGGATAAACATCGGTAGATTTTTTAATTATTTCTTGCATTTCTTCTAATTTTAATTCTCCACTATCCGAAACAATCCAATCTATCCAATCGGCATACATTTGCTCCGAGGCAAGATTTAACTTGGAGGCAGTAATGTATGATTTGGATAATAACTTTTGAAAATAAGTATGCTATATATAACAAATAACCTGTTAGAAAGATTATTACTTTAAAATTTCCACACAAATGCCGCAATATAATCAATTAACTCACAAGATTTGGCTCCGAAATTTTGAAAAGATATCTCCTAAGAAATTTCGTAAATAAGTACCACATCTCTTTATTTTCTAACTCCTGCACAAAAGAATACAGGAAATTTTATTTATCATGAAAAAAAGGAAAAATATATATTTGTGACGAAAAATAAAGATTGCAAACCTTGACATTTTGTTGAAATTCATTGACACTATCTTTAACAGCAGCAACGAATTCTGGGCTATTCATATTCAATACATTTTTCATATGCCTTTCAGCAAGATAGGCTCTTGCTTCAGCATTTTTGCTAAAGTCTTTGGCGATGCTACAAAAATCATCCAAAATAAATTATTTAAATCATTAGACTGACAAAAACAAATAAAAATATAATCATTTTACCTTTCATAAATGGTATCTCGAATCAACTGTGTATCAGTAAATTCACAACAAATTTCGATGAATTGTTGACGAAAAGACAAATCCTCTGGAATTGCTTTATTAACATTAAAAACCAAGAGTTAAATGATTTGTACACACAAATGCATCTAGGCACAATTACAATTATACCTTTGATAGCGTTCAAATAGATAATCTTAACAATCTCTCCCTTTAATAGTTTATTGTCATCCTCTTTCAAAAGATTTGTTTTTTGATCATCCAACAATTCATCCTCCTCCTCATTAAGTTTTGGTACCAGTATAACATCTTCAGTATTTGGCTTTTCCTCTTCCGATAACGACTCAGTTGACTCAGTTGATATGCCCAATATTTTTCGACGAGCTTTGATTTTTTCAATGTATAATAGTTCTAATTTGAAATATTCGTGCCAAAGTTGTGTTGATTCGGAATTTAAACGTATACTTCGTTGCAATAATACTGGAATAAATAATATTATAATGTTATTATTGATTTAAGGCATCCTGTTAAATGCACAATGCACTTCATAGGTACCTCTGGCAGAGACTATATTGGCATTGACCTCATATTCCCATTTTGCCGCAAGAATCCAGAATACAGGTTTTGTTGGATGCATCTGAATTGCTCTTTTAAATAAAAGGAAAATTTTTTTTTCGAAATCAGAACCTGCTTACGAAAAATAAAATTGATAGGATAATCGAAGAATTAATATTAACTTGATATTTGCCTCCCAAATATCTTATTGAGCAACCTTCCTGCTTCTGTTGATTTGGAGAATTCGATATATTGTAGCCATAAAGAAACATCGCCCTTGAATTTTATGACTGCACGATCAAAAATATGATATATTCTTCTTGTAATCGCGTAATCTGATATCGTGACTTTTCCTCTTATGGCTAAAAAACAAGACGATAATACGAGCAAATTTAGCAATTATTTGATCTGATTAGAAAAACAGCCGATTCGGAATATTCATCACCTAACCGATCTTTTCTTTTTTTGCGCAATTGATCCAGATTCATTTCATATTCAATATACTTCAAAAAATCTATTTTTTGAGCTGGTCTCCGTTTCAGGGCATACTCGAAGTTCGTCCTTTTTTTAACGATGGCTCGAATTTCTGACTAAAATTCAAAATTCGGTCATTTTTAATTAATAGAAGACGTCCCTGAATTTCCTGCTTACCCTCGTAAATAACCCCTTACGCTCTAAATCTTCGAGCTCAGGAACCATTTGTTCGAGATAATATTGTACCGTTTCCGCCATTTTGCTCAATTATTACTTTTGGGAGTAGAGTCAAAGTTTTGTCTACAAAAAATTCTCGATGTTTTTATCCAAGATGATCAAAACACGTGCAATGGTGATCTTTTCTATTAACTGATTATTAATATTGTTTTACCTTCAGAAAACCATCTTAATAATATACTAAAGTAACTATTAACAATATTTTTATCATAATATTCAACAAAATAATTAAATAAAAATTTTTTGCTATAAATTGATAATAAATAACTATAATTAAAAATAAAATACATTAATTCAGTAAAATAAAAATATAATCCAGAATTGGATCAAAAATAAGTTTTATTAGATTATAACATAAAAGAATTAAAAAGAAATTTTTTAATAAAATCTGTTACAATAAAGAAAGTATTGGTAACTTTTATATTTTATATTTTATAATTGATAAGGTTAAAAAATAAAATAAATATATAAATTAATTTATAATTAAAAAACATATTATAATTTTAATAAAATACTCAAAAATAAATATAATTATTATAAAAAAAATTCTTTTTATTGATTTTTTTTATCAATTCAAAAGACAAATATTTCAAAAAAAGATTATATATTTTTATAATAATGCTTATATACTTTTCTTAATAATATTAATATTTAGAAATTTCAATTTTTTTTTATTTGTTTTTGTTTTTTTATTTTTTTTTAAAATAAACTTCTTATATTTTTATAAGTAAATATATATAAAATCAAAAATTGGAATATTTTATTAAAAAAAAAACTTGTAAAAAAATATTTTCTTTTTTTTTTGAACTAGTTTGATTTATTGATTTATTTATTTTTTTGTCTCTAATTAGATATGCAAATGAAAACGTTTATTAATTTAATTTTTGAAAAACAATAATACAATACATATAATATTATACTAAAGCTAAACTAACACAATTTTGCAGAACACTCATCAATGAGTTTAAATTTGTACATGATCCTTGAATCCTTAATATCAAGACCACTATATTGTCTATATAATTTAGCTATTTACTAACTATCTCACTATAAAAGAGTAGGTTCATTAAGCTATTACTATGTAATATTAACTATATTAGACTTTTTAAATCTTAACTCTTTAGATATAATTGTGGAAAATAATAGAAATTGTTCCTTTTCAAGACTAGACTAGGGCTCCTAATGATATCACTTCGATACTACTTCGATACCAGTTCGATATTTAAATTTACTATAAAAACATATGAGTAGGTTACAACCCATATATTAAATTT